GACCAGAGATGCTTCAAAACATCCTGCAGCACACAGGACAGCCCCGCAATACAGCAAAAGTCTAACCCAAAGTGTCATTCGTACCGAGATTGACCTCTAGAAGGATACACAAGGGACGGGTCCACCGTGAACACCCCTGTTGCAGGGACTGGGGGACCACTGTGCTTGGGTATGCAAAATCATTCATTTTCCTTGTGTGCCATTGTGAGGAAGGGCATTTTGCAGGGCTTCTTATGAAGCGCATGGATTACTGATTTTTAGAAAAGAGTAACTGTGACTTGACTGAGCCGTGATTATTTATCGGTCTTCTCTTGATTGCTGGGGCGAAGGAATTTAAAGAGGAGGAAAAGCAAGGGCCTACCACAGTGCATGGGACCCACAGTCCTCAATCTACCTAGTCTTCCTCTAGACCAGAGTGTCCCCACCTGGCACCAGCACATGGTGGCCCGGTCTGTTCTTTCCTGCAGGGACTGTCCTATGCAGGATGATCAGCAGCATCCTGGCCTCTCCCTCCCCAGATGCCAATGGCACTCTCTTCCCTGTTTTGACACCCCAGAATGTCTCCAGACATTTCAAATGTCCAATGGGGGAAGAAAAACATGGCTAGTTTGGAGCCACTGTGCTAGATCTACTCTGTGAACATCTCAACACAAAGAAGTCCCCATCCACTAACCTCAGGAACCTACAACCCAGCTGGGTCCTCAGGGAGACCCGGACCCATGCCCAGGGCCAAAGGACTAAAGACACGGAGACAGCAGACACTGCATGGCACCAGGGGTAGGGGAAGAATGCCTCCTGGAGGAAGGGTTGCTCACAGATTCCTGAACGTAGAGATGGGCTTTCTGGGCTCCCCTAAAACATCTGCCCATTTCACAGAGAAGGAGATGGAGCAGAGGGGTGATGTGGCCCCAGGCACATAGTGAATGATGGCTAGGAGAAGCTGGGACAGCTGTATTCTCTGTAGCATCCCAACACATCCTGGGAGACTTTCCTTGTTCTTTGTATACTCCCTGGCTCCATGGACACCCCTAAGTGTCCTGGTGCCCCCATCTTGAAAGGGGGTCACCTAAGATGGCACATGACTAGCTGCATGTATTTTCTGCATTCGCCCTGTATTTCTAGATAAACAATCACTCAGCTGTTCCTGAACTCCGCAGTGGCTCCACGCAGCGCTGTCTCCTAGGGGCTGGAGGATCGCATCCACAGCTGCACACCACAGACCCAGGAAATGCCCACCATTGCTAGGCTGTGGCACCTTCTGCAGCTACAGGCAGCTGAGAGCCAGGGAAACCCAGTTTGCAAAACTGACATCTATACAAGTGAGAGTGGCAGGGATAAATAGGATGAGAATTAAAACCCACCTTGTTTCAACTCCTTAAGGAAGGCAGGTCAAGGTGAGTCCAGCCTTGAGCAATGAAGTCAGCCAAGACATTCCTTCTACCAGGTAGGAAAAGCCAAATACCAAAGAACCCAGGCTTTAAAACCAAACTGCCTGGGATCGTAACCCCATTTGGTGACTTCCTGGCTGTGTGGTCTCAGACAAGTTATTCAACCTCTCTGAACCTGAGTAGCTGCATCTATAAGACAGAGGTAACAACAGTGACCACTCTATAGTATCATCAGTCAGCTGAGATAATGCAAATGAAGCTCTTAGCCCAGAGACCAGCACATTGTAACTACGTGTTACATGATTCCAGCTATTATTTTATTTTAAGCATAAATATAATAACAACAACCTTACTATGGTTTATGAGCTGGCATGTGGGCCCCATATAAATTTTCACAAATAAATTCCACTTTGGAGGCAAAATGGCCGGAAAACTACAAAATTTCTGGTCATTTACATAACATCCCTCCTCCCACCATCCCATATTGAAAAAATAAAAGGATCTTTTAAAAAACATTTTTAGTGGTGTTTTAACCTATCTGAACAGCTAAGACTTGACTGCCCTGTTCTTGGTTTCAGCTGTTTTCCAGCTGCAGTGTTTTTCTCATTGATCAGAGAGAAATCCCCAAGGTCTGGCAAAGGAAGCTTTTAATTGCTCTGGATGGACGGATTTTTGGCTTAGCTGCTCAAGCATATAATTGAATGAGAGCGAGAGAGAGCGAGAGAGGGAGAGAATATCACTTGAGATTGCTTTGAGATGAATATACAGTCAGAAATCCCCATTCCTGACCAGATATCAAAGATTCCCCTAGTCTGACTCCCACAAGCTCTGCAGACAGAGAGCATAAAGCAGTCACTTCATTTTCCTGATCTTTATCAAAATAATAACAAGAGTGATAACAATCACTGTCCTTTATCATAGGTGCTTGTGGGTCGGAAGTCCCCAAAAGTGGACTCTGAGATGAGGATTTGAGTCCATTGACTTTCTTAGGAGGGAATCCTGGAAGCACCAGAAGTAAGACAGAGAATGGAAGACACAGCCAGGGAAGCAAGTTATGGCTGGGGCCGCTGGAGCTCAATCCCTCTGCCGACTCTGGGAGCCAGTTCAGCTCGAACACTTCAGCATCATCTCATCCAGGGATGAGGGCACTGGGGAATTCATGCCCAGATCCCATCAGCCATTGGTTGAGGGCTGTTCCTAGGCTGTATTAATTCCCTGGCACTTCCAGCCATCCCCACTGCAGGCAGCCTGAAGAACGAAGCCCTGGGGCAAAAGAGCCACAAGTCAGGCCTTCTGCAAAGCACCAGCAGCATCCCTACAATGCCCAAACACGACACGACCCAAAAACATGATCATCTCCCACTTCCCCGCTCAAAAGACCCAGAGGATTTGTGATCTAATTGAATATACAATCTTTTTATCAGTAGATAAAATAGTTAATATCTATTTATAACATTTAATTTACTCTACATGCTTATAATGACATATTACATATTAATGATATATTAATTTAGAAAAGTTGCTGTCTCTGCCCTCATTCCATGACTCAGTTTTATTCCAGCTCTTCCAATACATCATTTGCTGTCATGGTCTTTGTCGTCACCAAAGCCACCTTTCGAATCGTCTTAGCTTCCCAAGCACATCTTCTTTCCTCCCCTCTGGTTCTTGGCGACACAGCGATTTTGGAATCTGTAGGATGCTTTCACTGGAATTTTTATCCCAAGCCTTGAGCACCTATTTGCATAACATTGGGGCAGCTGGCTGTCCCATTCATCTCGGAGGTGCCAACACGTGCTCTCCATAATGTCACCGGGGATGGTATGGCTTTCTTAAGTGTCCTTAAAAGACTCGTTCACTCTTCACAGAGCAACACGGTGATGCCACACCCTTGGAAATTTGTTCCAAATCTGGATTCTATTTCCTAGCCTCCTTTTTAGCAATTCCTTCAAGATAACCTAGTAAATATCCAGAAAGACCACCGACTGAGGGTGTTTCAGATAATGTCTCGCCTAAACAGCGCTTGGTTGTTCAAAGTAAAATAGTTGGGAGCAACTCACACCGTGAAAGACTGTGCGAGTCCCACTTGAAGACAGACAGTGTCTTCCAGAGATCATCTGTGGGGGCGGCTTTGGTGAGTCTCCAGTTGTGATAGGGCTTTTCCCAGTCACATGCATAAACCCGTCTTAATCTTCACAACCACCCCAGGAGTGGGTTCTCTCATTATTCCCATTTCACAGTTGAAGAAATGGAGGCTCGAGGGGCTCAACAAGCAGTGGAGTAACAGTGATGGGTGTTACTTGGGGGTATGCTCAGCTTCCCCCACCACACGGCCACCCCTAATGGGGGAGAGCTGTGCCCATGGACATAGCTGGTAGACTCCTGGGCCAACCAGCAGACTCTAAGGAGCAAAAAGCCCCAGCTGGCCCAGCAGCCATGGTGAGGTCCCAACTCGGCTCCCTCCACTTTCCTGAGTGAGGAAAGAAAAGGGCACTTCCACCATTCCAGCTGGAAACCTCTGCAAAGAAAATGCAAAGAAAAGTCCCCCCTTAGGGACCTGGAGCTGCTTCCAAAACACACACCCAAGACCATTTCAAATAAGAAAGCAAAAGTGTGCAAGAGTTTTTAAAACAAGACAAAATGGAAAAATCTTGACTCCCCCTTTCTTGTCTCTCTTGCTTATCAGTCCATGACGCTTTAGGTTTTTACTGATTAACAGAACTAAAAATCTGAGGCGGGTGCTGTGAGGGAGAGGATTCAGCCTCGTATTAAAGGGAGACTGTGGGCTTTGGAGCTGGCAGGGCTGAGTTCACTGCCTTCAGGCTCTCTCAGCCTCAGTTTCACCATCTGTAAGATGGGTACTAATCCCTACCTCACAGAGCAGTGATGAAGATTAAATAGAATGCAGCAGTCAACACAAGTCAGAAATGAACAGTGTCAATCCCATCCTGCACCATCCCTCCTTTCCTCTTCTGTTTCCAGTCAGGTTATGGGGCATGGGGGCTACAGTGAAACAGAGTTGGTCTCTCTGGAGTAGGGAGAGAGAATTAGCATAACCAGGAATGGAGAGCAGGGCTCCTGGCTTCCTGTTCTTGCTTTTCTCAGGCACCTCTTCCCATGGGGAGAAGACCACGTGGCCTGTCTGCCAGAATGCCCTCCTTCACTCCACCCCAGACCACCCCAGTCCAGACCGTGCACAGAGCCGTGTGTGCGACCCTCATCTCCCCAAGGTGGGGCAAGCGGAGGAAGCCCCATAGCTGCAGCTGTGTCTCTGCTTTCCAGAAACCAGGTATGGGAGCAAAAGAGGAGGAAACAAGAGGAAGAAGAGAGGTCAACAGCCCTGGCAAAGAGAAGACGCAGCGTTCTCCCCAGAAGGGTCCCTGAGGGGCACATGTTGGAGGTATGGCTGCTGAAACCCTGGACCAAGCTGAGGGCATCCTGGGTTACTGGTGAGTCTCAGAGCTGCCGGAAGTCTGCCCCTGGCCTTGCGCTCCCATCTCCTCACAGCTGCTAACTGTAGAGGGTTCTCAAAGGCAGGATTTCAATTTTGCAAACGGATCTTCAGAAAATTGTGCCTCCCAGCTCCCTGTGGCCAGCCACATCAGCAAAACATACCTCGGAAGAGGAGTCCACTGCCAAGGAGGCTGGGAAGCCGCCCAGAAGCCCAGTGCGCCTCGGAAAGATCTGTTTCCTATTAGCTGGTGGCCGTTCCCCGCAAATCGTGACCATAACCAGATTTGGGGTAAGTCAGCATGCCCCATTTCATGAACAGTTGTCAGAGAATCCCCAAATCCTACCCTCTGATGGGCAACACAGACCTCCCAGCTCAGGCAGCCCAGTGTCCTCGGGAGAAAAATGAGAGACTTGTTCAAGGCAGCTTCTGTGACCTCATCCAGCTCAGACACTCTCTGACTGCGTATTTTCCCTGGGCCTCCTTTGTAATAATTCCGCAGGGTCTAGTACACTGGACCCCTTAGTAATTTTTGTAGATATAGCACTCACACAACTCACAATTTTAAAAAAAAGTAGCCAGGCATGGTGGCTCACGTCTGTAATCCCAGCACTTTGGGAGGCTGAGGCAGGTGGATCACCTGAGGTCAGGAGTTTGACACCAGCCTGACCAACATGCTCTACTAAAAATACAAAAATTAGCCAGGCATGGTGGCATATGCCTGTACTCCCAGCTACTCAGGAGGCTGAAGCAGAAGAATCGCTTGAACCTGGGAGGCGGAGGTCGCGGTGACTGAGATTGCACCATTGCACTCCAGCCTGGGCAACAAGAGTGAGATTCTGTCTCAAAAAACAAACAAACAAAAAAACATAGAGACAGGGTCTCTTGCTCTGTCCCAGGCTGGAGTGTAGTGGGTGCAATCATAGTTCACCGCAACCTCAAATTCCTGAGTTCAAGTGACCCTCCACCTCAACCTCCCGAATAGCTGGGAATAGATGTGTACCACCACACCTGGCTAATTTCTTAAGTATTTTTATTTTTCGTAGAGACAGAGTCTCAGTATGTTGCCCAGGCTGGTCTTAAACTACTGGTCTCAAGCGATCTTCCCACCATGACCTCCCTAAGTGCTGGGATTACAGGTGTGAGCCACTGCACCCACCCAGAGTGAACGATTTAGTTGTCAAGAAAAGACGGGTGGACAGTTGTTAGGTTTTGGCAGTCCCTTTCCCCTTTCCATTGCCTGCTCCCCAAAACACTGATGGATACAGGGTGCCAAGCCATTATTTTTTCTAATTCAAGAGTTAAATCAAGGATAATTTTTGGAAAAAAGACAAAATTATGATTCTCATTAAAATATAAAGATTTCATTTAACTCACTAATTAATGAGGGAAGTAGTTAAGATGCACTCACTAGTTAAAAGTAATTCCAAGAACCACACATATTAAGTCAACAGGAGGCTGAAATGAACGTGAGTGCAGAGGAAGTTTATCCACAGGGCAACCATCAAGTGCATTCCTCAGCACGAGGAATTTGCATTTCTATGAACTCAAATCACCTGCACTACTGTCAGTTCTCTGTGACTTACAGAGTTGTAACACAGCTCAAAGGCAGTGGAAGGCAGAGGTAACCTGGAACCGTGCTCTAGCCTGGACATTCAGTGACGTTTTCTCCTTTTTTGCCCATTGGAAAGTTTTTCACTAATTTTTCCTGTTGGCAATATAGGAGACCAAATGGTAGAAGAGTAAATAAAGGCTATACTTAGAGGAAACTGATCCCTCCAGATTGGAATCCTGTGGAAAATTCTTGGAGAAGACTGAAGTTGAGCTTGATTTTGAGGGCTGGTAAAGACTTAGGGGATGGGTACAATGGCTCACACCTGTAATGCCACCACTTTCAGAGGCTAAGGAGGGAGGATTGCTTGAGCCCAGGTATTCTAGATCAGTCTGGGAAACATGATCAGAGCTCACCTCTACAAAAATATTTTTTTTTTAATTAGCTGGGCCTGGCGGTGTGCACCTGTGGTCCCAGCTACTCTGGAGACTGAAGTGGGAGGATCACCTGAGCCCAGGAGGTCGAGGTGGCAGTGAGCCATGATCATGCCACTGTACTCCAGCCTGAGCAACAGAGCAAGAAACCTTCTCAAGAAAAAAAAAAGATATGGAGAGGAGCACCTCTGCCTACAGAGGCCAGTGTGGACGGAGGTTTGGAGGGAGGAAGGAACCAGGCATTTTCCGCTGTCTGCCCAGAAAAGTGGGTTTGTGAAGGAAACTGGCAGGTGACAGGTCGGAAATGTAAATTGGGACATCCTTGTGGCTTTTTACTGTGGCTCTCAGCTTCCTAACCGTCCTGGAGAGAGGTAAGAGGATAAATAAAGACGGTGGAAATGGTGTGAAGACAGGTATCTGAAAAGGCAGCAGGGAGGTGCTGGCCTTTTGTTCTGTTCACAGTAGACAATTTGGGGTGCCTTCCCAGCGACCCTGCCTTTTTTGGAGTGTGATTCCTGCTTCTTGCTGAGGAGGAAGAAACAAACAACCAGGTTTGAGACAGATAGCTCCCCGCTGCTTATGAGAGGGGGACAGAATTTGAACTCAGAAAGACCCCACCACAGTCCGGCAGTATTGACCCAGGAGTGGTAAGAACATATAAAACTGGGGCCCTGGTTGTTACCATGGCAACCTGTAGTCTGTTGCATGCTGAGTTTGGGGGAGCAGAAGAGTCTCAGGGGGATAGTCAGTGCGCAGGGAGATTAACACAGATGGGCAGAGAAGTGACCCAGCCCCAGGTTGCCCCGTAACCTTTGTTCCCAGGAGGCTGCTGTGTGGCTCCTCCGGTCAGCGGTTCCCTGAGGGTCCGGGTTTCCTAGTAGGAATGCTTCTCCCTCCAGTTCACTTGAAGGGCCTCTGCTTCCTTCCCTCAAACAGGCTTCATGGAGTTTAATATACCCAGAGCCATCTCCTTCCCCAGTGCCGACTGTGCCTGCATTTTAGGCCAGGTTTGTAGGAGAGTTGAATGAAGATTGAATGAATGAAGGATGAAAAGTACAAAATGCCATCACTTCACCTCTTTCAGGAAGAGCCAGGACACTCTACTGCATCCTTAGCTAGTTTGTGAATTAAATGTCAGTGGTGGCTTTTACTAAGCACTTACTACGTGCCAGGCACTATGCTGAGCTCTGCACCTTTAAGAGGCAGCAAGTGGTGACTGGTTCAGAACTGCCTGAGCTGAAAGCCTCAGATAAGAACACTGAAGCTTAAAGAGGTGAAGCCCAGGCCAAGCCCAGTAGCTCACACCTGTGATCCCAGCACCTTGGAAGGCCAAGGCAGGAGGATCACGTGGGGCCAGAAATTCAAGACCAGCCTGGGAAACAAAATAATATCTCATTTCTACAAAAAAATTAAATAATTAGCCAGGTGTGATGGCGTGTGCCTATAATCCCAGCTACTCTGGAGGCTAAAGCTGGAGGATCGCCTGAGTCCAGGAGTTCAAAGCTGCAGTGTGCTATGAATATGCCACTGCACTCCAGCCTGGGTGACAGAGGGATACGATGTCACTAAAAAAGGTGGGGGTGGGGATCAAGTCCTCTCCTGAGCTAGTAGTAATGGTGGGACTGAGGTTCAAGCCCATGGCTGATTCCAGATTCTGTTTACAAAACCGTTATGTGATGTGACTAAAGGCTTGATTATGCATCTTCTAGGCACACCATTCACGGTGCTGGGGACGCTGCTGTCAGCAGGACGCCCAGTCCTGGCCTGCATGCGGCTGCCACCCCAGCCCCCAGTGCTCTCCCCGGAGCCTGAACCCTAGCTACCCCTTCAGAGCCACCCCTCTGGCTTCCAAGTACCTGCATTACGCACGCCCACCCCTTCCTGGAAGAGATGGCACAGCCTGGGAGCCAGCCACCCTGGGGAGCTCAGGCCTGTGGGCCGGATCATCCACATGTCCGGGAAGGAAAGGAAGCCCATGGCAGGAGGGACACCCTCCTATGTGTGGCTGCGACTCCACGAGCCCAGGCTGCATTGTTCACTGAGGCTGCTAATGTTTGAACCCATCTTTGAATCAGATCCAGCCTGTTGGGCTGGCAAGTCCAAGCTGTGGTAAACGTGGAGGGAGACCCGCAGTCCAGCTGCAAAGCCCTGCCCTGCTCTTGGCCGCTCACAGAAGCTCTGGACTTGCCAAGGGTGCCACGTAGCAGAGGCAGTCTCCACCTCCAGCCCGTCCCACTCTTCCATCTGCTTCTCATTAGCTTCAAAAGTGAGGTCTGGCGCTGTGCCCTGGGCAGGAGGGAGAGCTTGGTGTGGCCGCTCACAGAGCCCCACCTCCCTTGCCTCGGCTTTCTCTTCTCCTGCCCCATCCATCATCAGCACAGCTTCTGGGGCTCCTCTCTCTACCTCTTCCACCTCTCCAGCACCCCCTCCCCTGGCCCTCTTCAGCAACCGCCTCCCTGCACAGCCCCACCCACCCACACCCTCATACACACACACCCTCACTCCCCAGGCACTCAGTCCCTGCAAGCTTCCTTCCTTATCCCTTTTGATCCCCGCAGCCCTCAGGCAGTGTAGCCCAGAGGTTCAACGGCATTCACTCTCACATCAGAAGGGTTTGGGTTCAAATCCCGGTGCACTGCTTGCTGGCTGTGTGACTTTGAGCAAGTTGCTTAATGTCTCTGGTCCTCAGTTTCTCTATCTGTAAAATGAGATGATATTAACAGTACTTATTTCATAGGATTATCATGAGGATAAAATAAAATAGTACAAGTAAAGAACTCAGCATAAAATCAGGGCTGGTCCACCTTAGGTATAAAAGGGATGAATTAGGACTTAGAATCTTACTCTTCCTAAGGGACCTGCAGTTGGCTGAAGCAGGACCTGCCTTCGGAGACAGGAATTAAGATTTTATTTTAGAATAAGGCCTGAGAAAGTAGGAGGCTGGAGGGGCTTATCTCTATATTCTGGATACCTCAAAGACAGTTAAATTCTGCTGCCGTGAGCATTTATTGAGCACTATCTGCATGCCAGGCACTGTGTGAAAAACACAATGCCGACAGATCAAGGAGCCCAGATTCTAGTGCCAGAAAAAAACATAAAGAGAAAGGGCCACCATGCCACACGCTGAAGACAGCAAGGGAAGAGGCGGGCAAGTGCTACGAACAAGGAGGAAACAGCTCGGAGCTGCTGGGCAGTGGGGCACTGGGTCTCAACGGAGGGCCACTGGCAAGGACAGAAGGCGCCCTTCTTACAGAGCAGTGGGGGCCTGGTGGGTCCCATGTGCTCTCCAGGAGAAGCAGGCAGAATTCCTTAGTCCCGTTAAGCCAATGAGGAAGACGAGGCATCTGCTTCCCCACCAGCGGGCTTGTATTCTAGAAAGGAATGTTCTCCGCAACCCCAAACCGTCAGCTCTTTCTGCTTCCAAACTTGGCAGGAGTTTGCAGGGAAATCAAAGAAGAGGAGGGGAGGGGCAAGGTGGACCAGCTGAGCTGGTTCTCC